CGCTTGGCACCCTCTGGCTCTGGACCACCTCTTGGTTCTCATCCCCCAACACTCCTTGCCTCACACTCTTGGCTTCAGCACGTTTGTAGTTTAATATGTTGTGTTGTTCTGTGTCCCTGGACTTGGGGTCATTTGGACATTCTGTCCCTATAGCTGGAATGATTTTGTCCCACTCATTACCTGGTCTTTAAGACTGAGTTTCAGCCTGCCCACACTTATTCAGATGCTTCCCTTGACAATATTCTGGGTTTCCTTTATCCTTGCCCCTTCGCTCCACTGTCTGGCTTCCCAGGCTGTGAGCTCCCTCAGGACAGGACAGCTCATCCAGTTCAGGGGACTGAAGTGGCCCCAGAGCCAGACGCTCCTGGGTATGAACCACTGTTCCACCACTTGCTGGCTGTGTAACCGAAGAAAAGAGGCTCATTTTCTGCATCTGTAAAATGAGGGTGATAACAGGGGTGTTTTGGAGATGAACTGCAATGACACCTGTAGGAAATTTAGAAGAGTGCTGCTATACTTTAAGGGCCTACTAAGTGTAACCTCTTCCTTTTTATGTTTTAAAATATGTTTTTATTGATTTCAGAGAGAGGAAGGGAGAGGGAGAGAGGAATAGAAACATCAATGCTGAGAGAGAATCATTGATTGGCTGCCTCCTTCACGCCGTCTACTAGGAATAGAGCCCACAACCTGCAACCCGGGCATGTGCCCTGAGTGGGAATCGAACCATGACTTCCTGGTTCATAGTTCGACTGAGCCACACCAGCCTAGCACCTCTTTATATTGCAAGACTGTAGCATTCAATAGATGCTCAGTTGCTGCTTCCTAAATTAGCACAATGCTAGGAGACCCAAACTACTTTAAAGGAAGTTCCATGGATTATCATGGGACTACAGAAGAACCAGACACTTCTAAATAATCCCCTGAAAGGAACTGGGGGGAAAACTGCTTATATGGCCAAGAAGAAAGCACAGCTCTTTGTCTGGAATGGTTTTCCTTTCACAGAGCCCCAGCCAGAGGGCAACTCCCAATTCCCTCCAGAGGCTGCCCTCCTGGTTGCAGAAGTGGGTCAGGACTTACCAAATGGGCTTCCCTGCTGGATCAGTTTTGAGGCTCCATTCAAAAAAAAAATAATCATAAAATGCCTATTGTGTATTAGGCACTTATTATGTGCCAGTGGTTCTCAAATGAGGGGGGCAATTTCTCCACCCATAGTGGACATTCGTCTGGAGACATCTTCGTTTGTCACAGTGGGGCTGGGGGTGTGACTGGCATCTAGTGGGTAGAGACCAGGATGCTGCTCAACACCCTACAGTGCACAGTGTAGCCCCTCAATGACCCGGCCCCACATGTCAAAGGTGTCAAGGTGGAGAAACCCAGCTATGCCCCAAGACACGGAGCACTGTGAGTTTTGTCTCGTTTCATTTTCATCATGCCGATTTATGAATGAGGCACTGTGATTCACCACGGCCCCCATTCTCCGAATGAGGAAACTGAGGCCCAGTTACACAAACTGCTCACAGTCACACAGCCAGGACCAGATTCAAAGCCGGGGGGCCTGACACAGCCCATGCTCTTACTGGTTGCACATTTTGGGGGATACCACACCCTTTAAAGCCATTTGGTTTAACAGCAAGAAGCTATTTGTCATCAGTTAGAGTGGTTCTCAACCTTCCTGATGCCGTGACCCTTTAATACAGTTCCTCATGTTGTGGTGACCCCCAATTTCATTGTGACAAATTGAACATAATTAAAGCATAGTGATTAATCACAAAAACAATATGTAATTATATATGTGTTGTCTTAGGAGACCCCTGTGAAAGGGTCGTTCAACCCCCAAAGGGGTCGCGACCCACAGGTTGAGAACCGCTGAGTTAGACCCAGGTTAGAATCCTTGCGTGGCTACTTGGCAGCATGTGATCCTGAGCACACCATCTGTTAGGTCATCGAAGCTCCTATTTTCCCATCTGTGAAATGGGGGAAGGATGCCCATCTCGTGGGGTGTTTTTTAGGAGTTAAATCGAAGAGGACTGTGAAGCGCCTGACAATTAGTCTGACACTCATTAACTGGTAGCTGCTGCTGGTACTGCTGTCCCTGTCAGCATCACTGTTATTATTCCCATCGCCTCGGAGGCCCGATTCCCTCCCACCCGATCCCGAGGAAACAAGTACTCGGTTTTGTGGCTGGTCCCAGTGCGCCAGCTGGCACTCGGAGACCAGTGGGATGGTGCCTCCCCACGCCAGATTGCACCCTGCAGAGGGGGCCTGCGCTTCGGGAGGCCTCAGCAGCTCAGAGGAAAGAGGCGTGTTGCCCACGAGCTTGGGGCTGGTGGGACCCGGAGCAGGCGCCTGGGCCACTAGGGCTGCTCCCTCTCTCCTGGGGGTTGGTTCCTCCTGGTTCCTCCATTAAGAAGCACAGGGACCTTTAATGCTGGTAGCAGCGGTGGAAATGGTGGGAAATGGTGGCCAAGGGGGCGAGGGAACTCTTTGAAGAGAAAAATAAGTTCTCTCTGCTAACTGTCTGGGAATGCCTATCTTTTGGGAGGTGACAAGAGAATGCAACAGCCAAACTGGAGAGAATATGCTAGAAAAGCTCCCAAATCGTGGGAGGTGGGGTTGGTTAAGGCAGAGCTTTCACGGGGCCTCTCAGACCCAAGACCAGCTTCATGTCTCTTTCAATAACAACAGTCATAATAACACCCACCATTTGTGGCCCACTGTGTGTGTGACTGGCGCTGTTACAAAAGCCTCACATTCATCATCTGTAACCCTGTTATGTGTACCCATTGAGAGGCCTGATGAGTCAACACATAAGAGGTGCTCAGAAGGGGGCAAATAGGAAGCAATATGAAGCATTCGCCACCACCATCATCATCATTTCTACAGCTGTTGCTTTTATTACCACCCTGCAAGATAGATGTTATCTCCAAAGAAGAGTAGGACTAACGAAGGCTCAGAGAGTCTGGTTTGCCCATGGCCCCAAAGGAGGCAGGAAAGCACAGTGGGTAAGCCAGCCGGCTTTGGCGTCGGACTGCCAACTTTCAAATCCTAGCTTGGCTGTTTAGTAACCATCTGCCAACGTGGGCATGTTATTTTCCCCGAGCCTGGGTTTCCTTTCCTGCAAAATGAAGAAAGAGACTACAATAAAAGTTAAGGTAAGGATTAAACTGTTTGCTGAATTGTGAAAACTCAGCTCTGGATACAGAAGGTAGAATTTAGCCCGTTTGTGTTTTGTGGAGTCTAAGCCCTCCGTGCCCTCAAGGAAAGAGGAATGAACTTTCTGAGGCAAACTGATGTGGGCTCTGCTGTGAGTGGTCAGAGAGGACCACCTTGGTCTGTGTAAAGGTTACTATGAGAGAATAGATGGTGTCTGGATTGGAGGGTGGAGGGTGAAAGAGTGGGGCAGGAAGGAGAGGCTAGAGAAGACAGAGAGGACAGATGCCCTGAACCAAGGTGGTTTGTGTGGCACTAATGTCCAGGAAATGCCAGGTGAGAAGCCCCAAGACAGTGCTGAGAGTGACCTATGATGCCCAGGATCTCTGCTAGACCTGGGGCTCTCCTGCTGACCACCCTCCTCAGTTGGTCCTCTAGGGCCGGGGAGACCTCCGTCTGCCCTGTCTGTGGTCAAGGTCCTCATTGCTGCCATGTGTAGATGCTACCAGAGCAAACACCTTCCACCCCTGACAACCAAGAGCCCGAGGCAACCTCTGGACGCCTAGCAGGGCCGCCAAGAAGACATCCTCCACCCACATATGGTGAGCTAAAGTGATCGATCCCACTTGAGTATTCTGAGCTGAGACAGTGGGAAGTGGATGTCACCATCCCGTTATTTTCATTCTCATCAGCATCTCAGGCTGGGCTGCAGGTTGAGGAATAGTCCACTGGACTCTGCTCCCAAGTCCCTCCAAAGACTCTGACCCTCCAGTCGTGACCTCTTTCCTCTGCCCGTCCAGCAGCCTGGAAGCAGAGCCAGCCTTGCCCTGTCCCTCCCACGCGGCCATGTGGACTGGTCAGCAAGAGCTCCCCTGGCTGGGAGGGGGGCGGCAGGAAGTCGCCTGGGTCCCCACTTGCTCTGCCTCTGAGGAGGGGGCGGTGCTGGGGGAGGACAAGGCTTTTATACACAAAGCAGATGCGCCATAAATGCATCCTCCCTGGCACAGACACTCCGGGGGAAATGCTGCTGGTTTTACCCACTCGTTCCTCTGAAAATAACTGCACACTTTAGCTGCCAAGTTTCCGGAACAGAACAAGTGCTGAGGAACGGGGAACCGATGAAGAGGTGGAGTTTTGGGTAATAGGAAGTAAACCACGTTGCTTTGCCCAATGACCGGTCTCTGAAAGAGGAAAAGTGTTTGTAATGGGCTTCCGCATGTCCAATGTTTTTAACCATAGCCATACCAATTACTATCATTTTTAAAGCAGTTACTCTGTCCTGATGTTTTACATACACAGCTCCACTAACTCTGCTGGTACTAGTGGCATCCCCATTTTTACAGATGAGTAAAGTAAGACTCAGATAAGTTAAGCAACTACCCTGAGGTCACACAGAATAAAACAGCAGAATCGTGGTTCAAAGCCTGACTCCTCAAGTATTTCCTTCTGAAACTGACTCTCAAACAATCCTTTCACCTGTGCCTCTCAATAATAGATGGATGGATAAATAGGTAGGTAGGTAGGTAGGTAGATAGATAGATAGATAGATAGATAGATAGATAGATAGATAGATAAGCAGAGAAAGAGAAAGAAAATACTGTGATGAAAGTAAAACATTTCTCTAGCACTCACTTTTCCAGATGAGGTGGCTGAAGTTCTTAGAGGTTGAATAAAACTTGCTCTCTGTCACACAGTCAGCTGCAATCAGAACTCATCGGTCTCATATTCGATGACTATGTGTTGAGGGTTTGCTATGTATCAGGTACTGCATAGAGACAGGCCGGCCCTCATGGAGCTTACAGTCTAGCAAGGCCGACAGATTTAAATGAGCAGTAACAGCAAAGCTGGGTCTATGCTGCAATAGGGGGAACCTCTCTGTGGTCCAGGATGGCATCCTTGATGAGGAAGAGTTTATCCTGACAGTTACTGGAAGAACAAGTGTTAGAGAAAGACAGAGGGGCACACCCATGATGACACATAATGCCCCCCAAAGATGATCACATCTTAATCCCTAGAACCTATAAACCTGTTGTTGCCTTGCATGGCAAAGGGATTTAGCAAATGTAGTCATAGCAGTTAAGTAAAGATCTTGAGTTGGAAAGAGTAATCTGGATTACCCAGGTGGGTCTAATGCCCTTTAAAAAGGAAGGTTAGAAAAAGATGGAATGATGGAAGCGGACACTGGAGTGATGCACTTTGAAGATGGAGGAAGTGGTCATGAGCCAAGGAATGTAGGAAGCTGCTAGATGCTAGAAAGACAAGGAGACAGATTCTTCCCTGGAGCCCCCAGAAGGAACGCAGCCCTGCTGACACCTGGCTCTTAGCCACCAGAAGACTTATGTTGGACTTCTGACCACAACTGAAAGGTAATCAACTTGTGTTGTTTTAAGCCACTAAGTTTGTGTTAATTTGTTCCAGCAGCAATAGGAAAATATTACAATGGGCTTCTTAGTTTAAAATAAAACTGCACTTCCCAAAATAGCAAATAAAAAGATATTTCAGGTCTTCGTTACATTCATGCACAGGGAGATGTAAAGGAAGAAGCAGTTTGAGATGGGAGACAGAAACAGAGATACCATCACAAACAGAAATAGGGACAGAGTACAATAGATACCGACTGCTTTGGGGATTAAATTGTGTTATCCAAAAAAAGATGTTAAAATTCTAACCTCCAGTACCTCTGTGACCTTATTTGGAAATCGCGTCTTTGCAGATATAATTAGTTAGTCTGAAGTCTTACTGGAGTAGAGTCAGCCCCTAATCTAATATGACTGGTGTCCTTATAAGAAGAGAAGAATTTCAGCACAGACACACACAGACACAGGGAGGACATGATGACAGGGAGACACATGATGACAGAGGCAGAGACTGTCATCACTCAGAGACTGGAGTTATCCAACCACAAACCAAGGAATGCCAAAGATTGCCATCACACACCAGAAGCTAGGAGGAGGCAAGGAAGGATTCCCTTACAGGTTTCAAAGGGAGTAAGGCCCTGCAAACACCTTGATCTCAAACTTCAGCCTCTAGAAATGCATGTGAGACAACACATTTCTGTTGTTTTAAGCCACCTAGTTTGTTGTACTTTGTTACGCAGCCCTAGCAAACTGATACACCTGCTTTCATAAAGCCCCATCCACTGGACCTTTGGGATATTGTTACTAAATATGTCTCATTTCTACAGCTAAAGGCATATTTTCAGCCCCCCCATCAAAGTTTGTCATATTTTCATGTTTCTGAAACTTCCTACCTGAAGTCTGTACATTTAATATAGACTATCATCCTTTCTTTGTTCCTTCACTTCTTCCTTTTCTTTTACCACCTGAAATTAGTGGTGCATCTTATAATAAAGAGCATTTTGGAATCAAGACAATGAAATATGAAGATATCCAATAGACTTCAAGCATCATGAATGCAAGGATACCTCTGCATCCCAGTACAGTAAGTCCTCACTTAATGCCAGCAATAGGTACTCTGACTTTAAGTGAAACAACATATAACAAAACCAGTTTTCCCAGAGGCTAATTGATATAAACAAGCATTAAGTCCCTAGGCATCTCATCAATGTTAGAAGGAAACAACTTTGAAAGAAATGTTATCTGAGGACCTGCTATCCCTAGAGCAGAGCCTGGCAGGTGGTAATCTTGTTTAGTAAATAATTGCATGTTGAAAGCAAGGCAGAAAAGTGAGGTAAGAGGGGCAGGGAGGGGGCCCGGACTTTCTCCAAAGTACCCGGGAGGAATTGAGATAAGGGCTGGATGAGGCCCCAAGCAGAGATATCCCTCACATTCATGAAATATGGGTTTCTTCCCTAAGTCCCATTAAGCTCTCTATGACTGTAAAACTACAATTAATTTTGTATTGGGAACTCCGTGTGGTCACATAAACTTCCTTTAAAGTTGGAGAAATCCACCAGAGACATATCAGTTTCTGAAGAATGTTACCTGGGAGGGGAAATGACCAGCTCCCTGGAGAAGGCAGATGGTTGGGAGAAGGACACAGGATTGGGGAGAACAGCAGCTGGGAAAGTCTCTGAGGTGCATGAATCCCAGGGGACCTTCTCCAGGGACATGGTCCAGGACAGAAGATGATGTATGTAGATGAGTCAGGCCAACCCAACGGTCAGCTCAGCCCCAGACACCAGGCTTGGCTCTGTCCCTAGCCCAGTGTAAGGTGACACCATTTGGAGCCTCAAGGTTGTCATGTGAACAAGAAGCATTTGAGACAAGGTAAGGAAATGACAGCTGCTCCATGCTGGCCACTTCATTGGGAAATGTCAAGTGTGAGACTGATGGTCTGGGGTGACAGTGGGAAGGGGGCGTGGCTAATGGCCTATAGCAAGGGTTCTCAAGCTGGGCCAATTATACCCCCCCGCCCCCCGCCCCGGGGACATTTGGCAACATCTGGAAATATTTTTTTATTACATCTGGGGGAGAGACAGGGTGTGACTGGCATCTAGCGAGTGGAGGCCAGGAATGCTGCTCCACATTGTACAATGCACAAGACATTCCCCTGGATGAGAAAAAGCTATCCGGCCCAAGATGCCAGTAGTACCAAGTTTGAATAACCCTGGCCCATATTCTACCGGCATTCAGGTTGGAAGTTTTTTAAAGTAGGTGGAGGTGGGAGGTAGAAAGATAAAATATGTGGATCAATGCATGGGTGGGTAGGTGCTTGAGTGGATGGATCATCCATCCATCGTCTATCCATCGAGAGAGAAAGAGAGAGAGAGAGAGAGAGAGAGAGAGAGAGAGAGAGAGACAGTTCTATGCTATCCGTCTATAGCTAGAACAAACTCTATCTCACATTCTGCTTTGAGGGCCGAGCACATAGAGTTACAAGGCCCTGCATGGGAAAATGTTCTCCTAGCAGGCTAACACACAGCACAGAGCTGCCGGGGAGCAGAACTCACTCGTCAGTCACCACAGCGGCCTTCACTCTGTGGGCTCGTCCCCATTTGCCTCCGTTGCATGTGGAAAGGAAACGGGGTCAGAGATCAGCCTGGAACAGTCCACAGCTGGGCGGTGAGTTGGGATGAAGACACACCCCCTGCAAACCCCCAGCCTGGGGCAGGTCCCCCTTTCTCTATACCCCCACTCTTCTGCATCATGCTTGTCACGAGTGTAGTAATTCAGTAACAACTCTCATTATCCTTTAAGGATCGTCTCTCCCACCGACCACAGTAAACTCCAAGCCATCAAGTCCACGAAGGCTGGCGCCTTGTGTGGCTGCTCACTATGGCATCTCCAACAATGAGCTCATACTTATTTGCTGAATGAACAAATGAACATAGGAGATGTCTGCACTGTCAGGACAAGGGCCTGACCAATTCGGCTCTGACCAATGAGATGCCCAGAGGAGGCTGGAATCAAGGCTGCCTACCAGTGTCTGAGCTGAGTCCTCACCACCTGTGGGAGTCGCCTTTTCTTCTGTCTGCTTCGCTTCCTCATCTGGGGCCTCAAAGCTACGGAGCCCGCTTTGGGTCTAACCTGCTCCCAGCCATGTCCAACCCAGGGAGGAGTGGAACAGGGCCTGAGAAAGCAGGTTGGAACACTCTGGGCCATGAGACGTCAAGGTCTGAAGAGTATGGCGTAACTCAGGCAAGTGTGTGGACAGGTGTGGCATCTTTATTTTCCTTCTAAGTACCAATTACTCATTCCAGGCCCAAATGGTGGCAAGCTGCCTTCCCTACGGAGACAGACTGCAGACCCCAGGGGAGAGGTGGGGAGAAGGGAGCTGGATGGGAAGACGGGATGCCACCTTTGCTGCAGGTGGAGCGAGGAAGAGCATCCAGGAGCAGCTACCTTCCCGGGCGGCTGCAGCGTCCTGCAAGGTTATCTGCAGTGGGCACAGGTTCAAAAGCGCCGGGGCGATCAAAGTGAGTCACTGTCACTCAGCAAGAGCCAGCTCAGCTGCCCGGGGCTCCGTGACGTGTGTCCCCAGATGCAAAGTTACTCAAATTCTAGACTGAGTTTTGCCTGAGTAAAGGGCATAGGAATGTCCATGCCCATAAAGACCGGCTGCTCTGTACAGCCAGAGTGGCTGACAGCGCCAGGCTGGTCAGCTGACAGGTGCCACCTGAAATGAGCCTCAGGCTGGAGGCGGTGTCATACCCTCTAGACATCTGTCCTCAGGCTCCTAACCCAGCTCCCTGGCTGCCTAGTCGTGCGACCTTGGGCAGGGACATCTCTCTGATCCTCAGGTCCCACGCCCCTGAAATGTTACTCAGAGCCCTTCGTCCTCTGAAATTCATGCAATAGCTATGAATAGCCCCAGGCATCCTCCTTCCCAGGGCTGGTGCTGGCATTTTAACCTGAAGTTTCTGTTCTTCCCACCAGCCTATTGGTGAAGGTCCCAGGTCCCAGAATCCAACTGTCCAGGTTCAAATGCCGGCCTCATCATGGATTAGCTCTGTGGCTTTAAGCAGGTGACTTACCTCTCTGAGCTTGTATTTCTTCATGCTAAGGATAATGTAGCCAACAGAAGGGCAGGTAGTCTTTTCCCAAATCCCCATATTAGGCGTCCAGCTTTGGATTGGGTTCCCCAGAATCCAACATCTCTGGGCTGAGGTTTCTGGGGCCTTCGGTTTGGGGCAGAAGAGAGAGCATTGTGATAACCACTGCTATTTGCTCCCCGAATCACAGAGGCCCTGGCCAACATGCTTTCTCTCTCTCTTGCCCTTGCGTTATTTTCTTTGTAACGCCTATTCTGATTCAGATCTAGTCGGTTTATTGACTCACTTGTTATCCATCTTCCTCCATTGGATTTGAGTCCTATTAGATCACGCACTTAATCTAAGTCCTGATTGTATTCCCAGCAACTAGCATATCACCTGGTGCACAGCAGGTGCTCCACAAACATCTGTCACCGAATGAATGAAAGCACGAATGCATTGCCATTATCTAGCTGCTTCTCACGTTAACCTT